CATATGGTCTCTTATGAAATTATATTGGCCCCATTAGTCTTTGGTTATACTTTTCTTTTGGGTGTTTAAGGCTATAGAGTTGGTCCAGATAAACCGATTTAAGTTTACTCTTAAGATCATTTGAGCATCTGTACCTCAGGGTCACATGGGCTTGAGAGGAACCCCTGGCTCCATTGTTTTACCAGTTCTGCCTATGTGAAGATAAGTCAAAGGTACTGCTCTATCATGGTTGGCTTCACTAAGAAGCGTGGAGAAAATGATTCTTCTGTGTTGACCCTCCTCTTTAGAGACCAGACACTGGTTCAAGTCCACCTGGTGGGGTCTCCTCGGCCTCCTTGATCAAGAGGACAGCTGACCCACCACCATTATAGGACATTTTGAGAGATGTCGTAGTCCCCTGGAACTAGTCGACCTAGGAGAGCAAGGAACAAAAAGTGTCCTTTATGTCCCTCTGACCAAATTATTATAGACCTCAAAGTATGCCTGTTAAACACCCAAGAAGGTTAGTTCCACCAGTCTGGTATTTTTAATTATTGTGTGTCATGTAGATAAATCTTGGGCAAAGATCAGTTCTTTGATAAACCTTACCTAGACATATATTTCTTGATCTGCTATGTATAATTTGTCAGTAGGTTGTAAGAGTAATATGGTTCTCTCTGGTTTTCAAAACTAGCTAGGCATTATCTCTCACCCCTCTATCATGGTTTTCTCACTTAAGGGGCCCCCATTTCCCCCCTTTCTCCCTTACTAATACCCTTCTCCTATGGTCCTGCCTCTCTTGAGCTCCTTCTTTCCCTTTATCCCCTAGGTTCCTTGTATACCCTTCCCTCCCCCTCCCTTAAACTAACCCAATTTTTATCCATATCTCCCTTATTAAGGCCTGTTTCCGAATGTTCTTCTCTTTCAGGTTCTTTTCCTTTACCTCCCTGTTTCCTTTCCATTATCCTGGTTCCTGTAGTTATGTCTGAATACATACTCACTTAACAGGGTGTGGTTCTAGGATCCACATATGAGGGAGAATATATGTTGATTTTTTTTCTGAGTTTGTGTTACTTCACTTAATATAACAGTGTGTAGTTCCATCCATTTACCTGCAAATTTCATGATTTCATCTTTCTTTACTGCTGAGTAAAACTCCATCATATAAATGAACCGCATTTTCATTATCTACTTGTCAATTGACAGATACTTGGGTTGCTTCCATCTCTTAGCTATTGTGAAAAAAGCAGCAACAAACATGGATGTACAAGTGTCTCTGCAATAGGATGAGTTCTTTGGGTATATGCCAAGAAGTGGGATAACTGGGTCAAATGGTAGGTTCATTTATAGTTTTTTAAGAGTTCTCCACACTGCTTTCCATAGGGGTTGAACAAGTTTGCAGCCCCACCAGCAGTGGATGAGTGTTCCCCTTTCCCCACAATCCCCTCCAACATTTGGTACCATTTGTTCTCTTGATCTTAGCCAATCTGACTGGGGTAAGATGAAATCTTAAAGTGGTTTTAATTTGCATTTCCCTAATTATTAGTGATGCTGAACATCTTTTAAGATGTTTCATAGCCATCTTTACTTCTTCTTTTGAGAACTCTCTGTTCAGCTCCTGAGCCCATCTTTTAATTGGGTTGCTTCTTTCTTGGTTCTCTGTTTTTTGAGTTCGTTATGTAGTCTGGATATTGAACCTCCATTGGATGTGTTGCTGGTGACGATTTTCTCCCATTCTGTGGGTTTTCTGTTTGCTTCCCTGGTTGTCTCCTTTGATGTACAGAAGCTTTTTTGTTTAATGAGGTCCCATTTGCTAATTCTTGTCCTTGTTTCCTGAGCAATAGATGTCCAGTTTAGAAAATCCTTTCCTAAGGATTTTTCCTTGTGGGTTTTCCCCAATGTTTTCTTCTAATAGTTTCAGAATTTCAGGCTTTACATTGAGGTCTTTGAGCCATTTGGAATTGACTTTTGTGCAGGGTG